CTGAAGGCAGAAGAGCTGGGGGGGGTTGTTAGAGCAGCAAAGGCCTGGGGGGTTCCCTCTGCAGCCAATGCTCAGGCTTGGAGCTGCAGGGCCAAGGGAAAAACCTGCCCGAGGGACACGGAGGATCCTTCCAGGGAAAAACCTGCCTGAAGGACATGGAGGATCCTCCCAGGGAAAAACCTGCCCAAAGGACACGGAGGATCCTCCCAGGGAAAAACCTGCCTGAAGGACACAGAGGATCCTCCCAGGGAAAAACCTGCCCAAAGGACACAGAGGATCCTCCCAGGGAAAAACCTGCCTGAAGGACACAGAGGATCCTCCCAGGGAAAAACCTGCCCAAGGGACACAGGATCCTCCCAGGGAAAAACCTGCCCAAGGGACACAGGATCCTCCCAGGGAAAAACCTGCCTGAGGGACACAGAGGATCCTCCCAGGGAAAAACCTGCCCGAGGGACACAGAGGATCCTCCCAGGGAAAAACCTGCCCAAAGGACACAGAGGATCCTCCCAGGGAAAAACCTGCCCGAGGGACACAGGATCCTCCCAGGGAAAAACCTGCCCAAGGGACACAGGATCCTCCCAGGGAAAAACCTGCCTGAAGGACACAGAGGATCCTTCCAGGGAAAAACCTGCCTGAAGGACACAGAGGATCCTCCCAGGGAAAAACCTGCCTGAAGGACACAGAGGATCCTTCCAGGGAAAAACCTGCCCAAAGGACACAGAGGATCCTCCCAGGGAAAAACCTGCCTGAAGGACACAGAGGATCCTCCCAGGGAAAAACCTGCCTGAAGGACACAGAGGATCCTCCCGGGCTGATGGGAGGGAGGGGAGGAGAATTCCTGTGTCAGGCAGAAGCTGCTGGCAGAAAAAAAAACCCCAAAGCTGATGTGTCAAATGTTCCCCAGGTTTCTCCAGAGGAGCTGACGCTTGTGCACAACCTGAGGAAGATGGTGATGAACGACTGGGTGAGTTCCAGGCTGGGCCTTTTGGGGTGTCACTCTCAGCCATTAAAGCCACCCCAGGCCCAAAGGCCACAGGTCCTGCAGCCCAGCTGGGTCTCCACCAGTGCTGGTGTCTCATCAGTGCTTCTGGCATCACCCAAAGAGAAGGAGAACAGCTCAAATCCACAGCACTGCCCGATTCCTGTGCTGAATTCCAGTGTGGGACCCCGAGCTGGAGGTGTTTGATAGCCCTTAGGACATCTGGGTTTATGATTTTTTTAACTGATTAGAAGTTTTAGTCCCTGAAGGTCAACTCCTCCTCCTGCTTTTTCAGTCCCCTGGATGCTCAGAGCTCCCACAAGTTGGGCTTCAGATTTAAAGGTCCTTTTTAAAAAAGCATTTCAGTTGTTTGCAAACAAAGCCATTTACAGGTAAGAGATGTTTAAATGGCAGTGCTGGGAACACAAGCTGTGTGTTCCCTGTGCCCCCATGGACCTGGAGTAGCAGAGTTAACGTGGTCAGGAGCATTTTAAGTCCATTTTATAGAATTTTGGAATTGATGTAAGATCAAAGAATCACAGAATCCCAGACTGGTTTGGGTTGGAAGGGACCTTAAAGCTCATCCAGTCCCACCCCCTGCCATGGGCAGGGACACCTTCCACTGGCCCAGGTTGCTCCAAGCTCCATCCAGCCTGGCCTTGGGCACTTCCAGGGATGGGGCAGCCACAGCTTCTCTGGGCAACCTGTGCCAGGGCCTCCCCACCCTCACAGCCAAGAATTCCTTCCCAACATCCCCCTTAGTCAGTGAGAAACCATTCCCTGTGTCCTGTCCCTCCATCCCGTGTCCCCAGTCCCTCTCCAGCTCTCCTGGAGCCCCTTTAGGCCCTGGAAGGGGCTCTCAGGTCTCCCTGGAGCCTTCTCTTCTCCAGGTGAACCCCCCCAGCTCTCCCAGCCTGGCTCCAGAGCAGAGGGGCTCCACCCTGGAACCTCCATGACCTGCTCTGGACTTGCCCCAGCAGCTCCATCTCCCGAGAAGGAGGTTCCTGGTGGGTTGATTGTGAAGCAGAGCCGTGCTTGCAGCTCTCAGGGTTTGTTTCTGCCCTGCCTTTCAGAGTGGAGGGGCTGTTGTGACCACCCTGAGCCAGACGGGCTCGCTCTTCAAACCCAGCTCTGCCTACCTGCCCCAGGAGCTGCTGGGCAAGGTGAGTCCCGGGGCCTCCTTTGGGGTTGCTTTGGTTTTATTTGTCCTCTTGGCTTTGGGAAACAAAACCCCTGGTTGGGGGCCCAGGTTCTGTTCAGGGGGACAGACTGTGCTGTGTGGAGGGACAGCTCCAATCCCTGCTCTCTCAGGAGCCAGGGAAGGGCTGGAGCTGTGCCAGGGCAGGCTCAGGTTGGATCTCAGGAAAATCCTTCCCCCAGAGGGTGGTGGGCACTGACCAGGCTCCCCAGGGCAGTGGGCACAGCCCCAGGGCTGCCAGAGCTCCAGGAGGGTTTGGGCAATGCTCTGAGGGATGGGGTGGGATTGTTGGGATATCCTGGACTGGATGATCCTTGTGGTTCCCTTCCCTCAGGATATTCCACGACTGAGCTCTGGTAAAGGTTCACATCAGCCACAAACAACTGCTGGATGTGTTTTCTTCTTTCTCCTCCATCTTTCAGCTAAACTTGTAAAAATAAGTATTCTGGAAGTGGTGTGGAGTCAGTAGAAAGCTTGAAGTGCTCAACAGCCCTCTTTGTTAGAAAGCTGGCCAGCGAATTTGCAGAAATGTGAAAATATCCATTTATTTCTCATAGTGAATGAATTGTATGAAACCAAAACAAGTATTTTTAAGCAGAATTGTTCAGATCTAAGATAAAACCTGTACTACCATAAAATTACATATCCTTTTAGCTTCCAACTAATTCCCAAGCTACAGGTCTTTGAGAACTTTCTGGTGGGCTGACTGGAGGAAAGTCCAGTCTCTCCTCTGCCTCCTCCGAGGGCTGCTGTGCTTGGGTTGTTGCCATGGAAATATGACATCTTCAACTTTCTTTTGGTCCTTTCCCAGGCATGGGATAAAATTAAGCACCTGTTGGAAGGAGAATTCCTAATGGACATTATCAGGTCACTCAGATACAATTGCATAAGTGACTGGAAGGTGCTTCTCCTCTGTGTTCATAGAAACCAGAGTTACTCACAATTGAACTGCAGGATTATAACAACCCCTTTTTATTCACCTTGGAGGGGAAACATCCTTAAATTAAGGCATGTTTTTTCCACGCCTTAGCAAATAAAAGGCTACAGGAAAGTTCCTTCTCAGAGCTCCAGCTCTTTGTGCTCTGGGTTAATCAGTCACCCCATGGAGAGGCAGAAACACCCCCCCCCTTTAGGGGGCTGTTTGTGGAGATACATCTGTGCAGGCTGTGTCCAGCTGTTACTCACCCAGCCTTCCCTCCCTTCCCCCTTCCCTAGGAGGGGTTTGACGCCCTGGACCCCTTCGTGCCCATCCTGGTGCCCAACTACAGCCCCCGGGAGTTCGAGAGCTGCTACGGGTACTACCTGGAGCGCAAGTGGCTGCAGCACGAGCAAGGTCGGTGCCCCCGGGGCTCTGCCCGCCCCCTCTCAGTCTCTCTCAGTCTCTCTCGATCTCTCTAAATCTCTCTTTCTTTCTCTTCCTCTCTCCCCCAGCTCGCACGGAGGACGGGAAGGCGGAGCTGCAGTTCCTGAGCGGCTCCAACCCGCGGCAGCTGGACCGGCTGGCGGGGCCCCTGTAGGGCAGGAACGGGGCCGGGACCCTTCCCCTGCCCCCGGCGCTGCCCCCTGTTCCGAGGGGGAAACCTCCCCTCCCGTTGATCGCTGTACAAATTTGGTATTAAACAGCGGCCCTTCCCAAGAGGATTTTACACGTTCCGCGTTCTGCCACAGCGAATTGGGGCGTCTGACACCCGACCGAAATTCTGGTTAACACGTTAAATGTACACGGGGGCGTTCCAGGCAAACCAGGCCCGGAGGGAATGAAGCACACGCGTGGAATAAATCAGCCCGCACAGGCGTGGGGAGGGAAAGTTTTTGCCAATCCCTGAAGTTTATCCCGTAAAGGAGCAACTGCGATTTTCATTTCCTCAACGGGTTATTATTTCAGCTCGTTCCCAGCCCGGGAGCGCGCGGGGAATGTCAGGGGGAATTCTGAACCACCGATGGTTGTTCGGGGGGCACATCCCAGGGAATGTCACGGGGAATTCTGAACCACCGATGGTTGTTCGGGGGGCACATCCCAGGGAATGTCAGGGGGAATTCTGAACCATCGATGGTTGTTCGCAGCCAGGGAGCACATCCCAGGGAATGTCAGGGGGAATTCTGAACCACCGATGGTTGTTCGGGGGGCACATCGGGCCGTAGTTTCCCTTCCCAGCGTCCCCTCCTCATCCCCGCCCGCTCCCAGGGAATGTCACAGGGAATTCTGAATGACCGCTGGTTGTTCGCAGTCGGGCGGTTGTTTCCCTTCCCGGTGTCCCCTCCCAGGGAATTCTGAATCACCGATGGTTGTTTGCAGTCGGGCGGTTGTTTCCCTTCCCGGTGTCCGCTCCCAGGGATGTCACGGGGAATTCCGAATCACCGATGGTTGTTCGCAGCCAGGGGGCACATCGGGCGGTTGTTTCCCCTCCCGGTGTCCGCTCGCAGGGATGTCACCGGGAATTCCCAATCACCGCCGGTTGTCGGCAGTCGGGCGGTTGTTTCCCCTCCCGGTGTCCGCTCCCAGGGATGTCACGGGGAATTCCGAATCACCGATGGTTGTTCGCAGCCAGGGGGCACATCGGGCGGTTGTTTCCCCTCCCGGTGTCCGCTCCCAGGGATGTCACGGGGAATTCCCAATCACCGATGGTTGTTCGCAGCCAGGGGGCACATCGGGCGGTTGTCTCCCCTCCCGGTGTCCGCTCGCAGGGATGTCACCGGGAATTCCCAATCACCGCCGGCTGTTGGCGGTCGGGCAGCAGTTCCTGCCGGCAGTCGGGCGATGGTTTCCCCCGCCGGTGTCCCCTCCCCGTCCGGGGCGGGTCCCGGTGACGCTCCCGGTCCGCGCCGTCGCTCGGTGCGATGCCGGGGGAGGCGGTGACGGTGCAGCTCGGGCACTACTCGGGCTGTGTGGGCGCGCACTGGTGGGGGCTGCAGGTACCGGGGGGGGGGCCGCGGGTGTCGGGGGGGGCTCGCCGGGGCTCTCTCCGACTCGTTCCGCCTCTTTTTCCCGGTTTTCCCCCCTTAGGCCGCCGCGCTGCGCGGCCCCGCCGAGCCCGCCGAGCTCCGCGCGGCCGCGCTGCTCCGGCCCGGGCGGGGGCCCGGCGGCACCGAGACCCCCTCGCCGCGGCTCGTGGCGCTGGAGCTGAAAGGTACCGGGGGTGGGCGGGGGTCTGGCAGCCCCTCCGTGCCCGGGCATCGCCGTGCCTGGGGCAGCATCACAGTGCCCAGGCATTACAGTGCCCGGGGCGGTATCACCGTGCCCGGGGCAGTATCACAGTGCCCGAGGTGGCATCACCGTGCCCGGGGCGGTATTACCATGCCCAGGGCAGTGTCACCGTGCCCGGGGCAGTGTCACCGTGCCCGGCCATCACCGTGCCCGGCCATCACCGTGCCCGCGCTCTCTTGCAGGCGGCGTGGGCGCGCTGAGACCCGACGGGGTGAGCGCGGAGGCTCCGGTGCCCTGGTGAGTGCGGGGCTGGCCGAGCTGGGCCGGGGGTGATGCGGGGCGGGCCGGGGGTGATGCGGGAGTGATGCGGAGCCGCCGGAGCTGCCACCGCTTTGTGTCGCAGGGACGGGGCCGTGGCCGATTACCGGGACGCGCCGCGGGACAGCGGGAACCGCGCGGTGAGAGCGGGTCCCGCATCGCTCCCTGCTCCGCGGAGGGACGAGGGGAAGCGCCCCGTAACCCCCCGAGCCGGGTTTTTGTCCTGCATCGCTCCCTGCCCCGGGGAGGGGCGATGGGAAGTGCCCCATAGCCCCCCGTGACCCCCCGTGCCGGGTTTTTGTCCCACAGGGAGACGCTGCCTGTGACAGGAAGGGGGGTCCCGGCGCTGCGGTGCCAGGTGGGTGCCCGGGGGGTGGGTTTGGGTTTGGGTCAGAGGTCCCAGAAGGTCCCCTGTGCCAGGGGGCTGCTCTGGGATGCCCTGACAGCGACAAGGAGAAGGGAAGCAGTGGGATAAGACGGCTTTGCTTGCACACGGGTGGGTCAGGGAGCAGCAAAAAAACCTCCACAAAACCTGATTTCTCTCTCGAGGGGAGGCTCGGAGCTGAAAGGACCTTTGCTCTTCCCAGCAGGAGCAGCTCCCACAGGGTCCCAGGACCCCCCCTCGGTGAGGCTCTGGTCCGATTACCTCAACGTGCCCCTGCACCCCCGGAGCGTCCACGTGATCCGGCAGTACCTGCACGATGGGTACGGCCCAGCTCTGCCCCGGGGGCCTCTTGTCCAGAACAGCAGCCGAGTTGTGCCTTCAAGGAGGAATTCGGAGGGCTTGGGATAAGCTCTTTCCCACCCGTTTCTTCCCGCAGGGATTGTGGTTGTCTGGAAGCCTTTGCACAAGGGGAAAGTCTCCTGCAGGACCCCGCCTGCGTGGAGGAGCTGGAGGATCGGCTGCACTTCTTTGTTGAGGAGTGTGATTACCTGCAGGTTCACAGCCCAGGCCGAGCTCCCTTTGCTTTCAAGAAGCCTCCTGCTCAAGATGAGGTGGTATCTGAGGTGCTGCCCTCGTTCCACACAGGGGTTCCAGGTCCTCTGTGACCTCCACAACGGGTTCTCGGGGGTTGGTGCCAAGGTGACAGAGCTGCTCCACGACGAGTACTCGGGGAAGGGAATCCTCTCCTGGGGCCTCACTCCGGCCACGAGTGACGTGGGGGTGAGTGAACCCCAAACCCGGGCCTGGGGCTCGTCTGCACCTTTAAGATTCCAAAGGTTGGATTGTTTTTCCCCCCCTCCCAGGATCCCCAGAGCAGTTTTTACAGGCTGCTGAACACGGCCCTTGGCATCGTCCACCTCTCCCAGCACAGCTCCCTCTTCTGCCCTCTGTCCCTCAGCGGGAGTTTGGGAATCAGGCCACGGCCTCCTGTGACATTTCCATACATAAAATACGATGTAAGTCCTGCTCGTGCAGCTTCACCCCCTCCAAGTGTTTCCTGCAGCCCTCTGCTTTTAGTGGTGCTTTTCCATGGTGCTCAGCAGAGACTCTTTCCTGCCTTTTCACTGGGACTTGGCTTCCAACCTGTCATTTCCACAGCTTTTCCCTACTTTTGAAAACATTACCACGCTTCCTTGGCTGCTGTGCTTTGTCAGTGTGTTGGCACTGAAAAAAAGGCTTTGCTGCACCATTCTCCATGCCTGGAGTAACTCCAGGAGTTACTGGAGCCCCAGGAAACTGCTGACAAGAAAACTGGCACCAGAGTATTTGTTAGGAAAGAGCTGACCTGGAATTACTGCTGAAAAACACTGGCTGCTTATCCCAAACCTGGAATAATTCTTATACACTGGCTGCTTATCCCAAACCTGGAATTACTGTTAAACACTACTTATCCAAACCCTAAAATCACTGTTACCCATTGGCTGCTTATCCTAAACCTGGACTGTTACACAGATTCCTTATCCCAAACCTGGAATAACTGTTACACACTTTCTCCTTATCCCAAACCTGGAATAACTGTTACAGACTCCTTATCCCAAACCTGGAATAACTGTTACACACTTTCTCCTTATCCCAAACCTGGAATAACTGTTACACAGACTCCTTATCCCAAACCTGGAATAACTGTTACAGATTCCTTATCCCAAATCTGGAATAACTGTTACACAGACTCCTTATCCCAAATCTGGAATAACTGTTACACACTTTCTCCTTATCCCGACCCTGAAATAACCGTTAAACACCTTTTTCCAGGGCACACTTAAGTTAAATACACAAAACTGGGTTAAGGAGCTGGTGACTGGGACTTGTCCTGTGACTGTCCCCCTTTTTCTCCTCACAGGCATCCCTGAACTACCACAGCAGTGCAATTCTGGCAGCAGCACTCGACACCCTCACGGTTCCCTACCGGCTCTGGTCGGCCCAGGGCTCCATGGTGCACTTTGCTGACTCCCTCACCTTCTCTGGGAGGAAGGTGAGGACACCAAAACCAGCCACCCCGATCCCTCCAGCTCTGCTGCAGGCAGGGGATGCTGTTCTGCACTTCCAGGAGTGTGTTCCAGGCTGTTTTCCCCCCTGATCCAGGTTGTGGCTGCGTGGGCGTCTCTCCCTTTCCCTGCCTTTCCCGGCTCCTCGCTCCCAGAGATTTTAAGTGCCCACCAGCAGGACGTGCCCTGGAAGCTCCTCCTGTCCTCCTGGAGGGAGCAAAAGGTCAGCTGCTGTTTTGCTCAGTCTGTTGTGCTCCGAGGAGTTTGCAAAGAAAGGCCCAGCAGGTAAATCAGCCTCTGAACTGCACCTCTGCCCTCGGAGCTGCGGCTCTGCCAGCGGGGATTCCTCCCAGGAGTCATCCCAAACCCCTCCCTTCGGAGAGGAGCTGGATGGAGGAGCAGTCTAGTGACTGAGCCAGTTTCATTTTAGAGCAAAATCAGCTAAAAAGCAGCTGAGTCAGTGGCGTTTTCAGCCTGGAAAGCCCTGATTTGGTTTCCTTTGCAGCAGCTCCCTGGGCCAGCAGCCCCGGACGCCCCTGCAGGGCTGTGAGAGCCCTGAGGAGATGCTCCAGCACTACCTCCACACCCACTTCCCAGGCTCCTTCAGGTGGGTACAGGTGGTGTGGGGGGGTTGGTTTAGACCAGAGAACAGTTTTGAGGGCGTTTTGGGGTAACTTTATTCCCCTGTTCCCCCCCAGCACAGCCCACGTGCTCCAGCAGCCCTGCGACACCCGACCTCCCTTCCCCCAGTTCTTCTCTCCTCTCCTGACCAGACAAGGCTTCCTCCAGGACAAAGCTCCGGGTCCCTCCTCGGCAGGGCCCAACAGAGGTAAGAAAACCCACTAAAACACCAACAACCCAACCCCACCCTGGAGGGTTTGCAGGGCACGAGTTACGAGTGTCGAGCGGCTTTTTACGCCGAGGTGAAGGGGAGCGGGGCCAGGCCCCGGATTTTGGGGGCTGTTTAACCCCAGCTGCTGGTCTGACCCCGCAGCTGTGCAGAGCATCCCCGTGCTGGCAGCCCTGCAGGCCTCCCCTGTCCTGCACCAGCTGCTCTCGGGCCTCTGGCGGGACCTGCGGGCGCGGAACGTGCGGCGCTGGAGCAGCTTCTTCACGGCCGGGCTGGAACAGGACGACTTCCAGCAGGCCCTGGAGGAGCTGAAGACTCTGTCCCAGTGCTATGAAACGGGGTTTGGGGGGGATGGCTCCGAGGATGAGGCGGATTCAGACTAACCCACCTTTATTCCCGGGGACAGAGGGAGTGGGAGCCTCTTTAAGGTCACTTTGGGAATCAAGGGAATGGCTCTGGGGACGCTCCAGCTGCTGCTTCCTTCTCATTTCACCAAAATCCCCTTACAAAGGCTGGTTTAACTTCTCCAGCTACTCACAGCTGTGTTGTAGAGGGGGAAAGCTGCTTTTGGGGGGGCTGTTTTTGTATGTTTGGGGTTGTTCGTTTGTTTGGTTGTTTTTTTATAACTGTGCAAAGTGGATTTGCTCTGCCCCATTCAAATAAACCCACACAATAAATAAGAGAGCTCAGACTGTAACTTTCTCACATACAATCAACACAAGGGGAGAACTTAGAAAAAGTCCTGTGTTCTTTCCACGAGAAAACTGACATCTTAGGGTACAATATTTACACGTTCTGGTCCAAAGCTGCTGTGCCCAACCTTCCCCCCAGGCCAGGCGAGTGTCCCCGAGCCCCAGCCCTGCTGTTTCTCTGCTGAAGCTCCCCAGGGAGGTTCTGGAGAACATTCTCACCCCGACACCTCGCTTGGTGCCTCCAGTTTGGTGCAGGCTGGCAGTGCAGCTCATCAGAAGTGGAGCAGGAAAGTGAACAAAAACCCGGGAAGGTGCCGTCTTAATACCTGTGCAAACGTTTTCCCACAGCACCTGTCTAGCAGCAAACTGGCAAAAAACAAACAAACTTCTTCTGGGGCAAGTCAGTAGTTTATCACCTCAGTCATCAGGTTCTTCCTCAGAGAGCAGGAGATCTTTATCTGACAGCTGGTCCGTGTTGCTGGTACTTGTTGCATCCTCCTCATCCTCGGAGCTCCCGTCGCAGGACGTGTGGAAGAGCCTCATCAGCTCCCTGAACCTGTGGGACACCTGAGGAACGAGGGGAATCCAACGTGAGCAGTGGCCTGAGAGGTGTCACAGAACTGGGATTCCCTGTTTCAAAGCTCGGGGTGTTTTGTAATGTTTTAAAATATATATATATCTATAAATACCACAGAGACATTTCATACGAGGTTCGGTCATAAAGGAAAAGAGAAATGCAAGAGCAGCAGGTTGTTGTTCTCTCTGGAAGAACAGTTACATTCTACTGATTTGCAGGTAAAATCTGGCAGTTTGGGAAAATTCAGAGGCAAAACAAGGCAGATTCTTTATGTAGGAGGAGGCTGAAGACCTGAGCAGCAGCCACTGAAACAACCCTGGTCCCAAACAGGAGGCTCAAACACCTCAGGATTTCTGGCTCCAGGGTTTGTTTTGGGTTTGATTTTTTTTTTTTATTTGCAGTTGGGATGATTTTTTCATCAAATTTAAGTTTGGGAGGGAGGCTTTGTATGAACAGCACCCTCCCCCCACCTTTCCTTCCTTTCCAGCCCCCTGCCCATCCCCTGGGAGCTCTCCCATGCCAAGCCCTCACCTCACTCGCCGTCTTGTTGCCCAGTTTCTGGGAGATGGCATGGAAGGTGTCCAGGTGGGCTCCTTTCTCCTGGCAGGTGGTGAGGATGACCCTGTCAGCCTCCCTGCAAAACAAGCAGCTGTAAAACAGCCCAAAAAACCAGCGATGGAATTCCAGCTCCCCCTTCCCCACACGAAGCCTGTTCCCGGTTCAGGAGAACAATCCCTGGGCGAGGGATCCCTTCACCCCTCCTGCCACCTCCCCTCACAGGACCCATCTCTAAGCAGAGCTGCCTTTAGGGTTTTTTTGTGTTTTCAGCTGTTTTAAGTTGTTTTTTGAAGGAGAAGAAAGATCCTTTCCCAGGCTGAAGTGCTCCAGTAACAGGGCAGGACCGAGCTCTGATGGACTGTGGTCAGAGGAAACGAGGCAGGAACACTGAACAAGAGGGGGCAGGACACAGCAGAAAATGGGAATACAACAGGAAAAGAAAGGATCCTCTGCAATGTGAGAGCTGAAGGCAGGAAGGGCAGGGCAGGCAGAAGTACCTGGTCCAGAGCACGACCTTCTCCCCGGTGGAGCTGACCTTGCTGTTCTTGGCACACACGGTGGCCTCGGTGACCTTCTGCTGCTGCTCCTCCAGGGCTGGAACCACCCTGGGCTCCAGCTGCTCGGGATGCTGATGCCCCTGGAGGCAGCTGTTGGCCCTTCCCTCCGTTCTGCCCTCGGGGGGAACGTCCCCAGGGCAGGCTGTGCCAGCTGCCCCCGCACCGCGCCGACCAGCTCTGCCACCCGCCGGCACCCAGCCCTGCCTGGCTTCAGCTCTGCCCTCCAGAGGCAAAGGTGGCCCCTCAAGTCCTTCCCCAGCTGGCTGTGAGGCAGGGCCAGGCCCCCTGAGGCTCTCTGGCCCCTGGCTCTGCCCTGGGCTCTGGCAGCAGCAGGACTGAGGTCCTGGTGGCCCCGTGGCTGCAGCAGAGGGAGGAGGCAGCAGCAGATCCCTGCCTGGCCCCAGGGAACCATCGCCATCCCCTCCAGGCTGCTGGGTCAGTCCCTCACTCCCCACAGTGTCTTTGGTTTCTTGAGGTAGTTTCAGAGCAGCTTTTGGCAGCTGGGTCCATCTGGGGCTGGGGGCAGCAGAGTCTCTGTCCTGGGCACCTTCCACCCCAGCACTGGCACCTTCTGCCAGCTGAGCATCAGGAGGGGCAGGTCTGTCACCAGCTCCATGCCTGCTGGAGGCAGCTCTTCCTTCCAGGGGAGATCCTGAGGAGAAACCCAAACGAGGTGAGATAAAAATGTCAGCAAGGAAAAAAAAACTCCTGCAGGCTTTGATCCCTTGGCTTTTATTTTAGAGCCTAAGGCTGCAAACGAGAACAGTTTGGGAGCAGCTTTGTTATTTGTTATTTTACCTGCACCTCTGCTGCAAAGAAGACCATCTAAAGTCAATGTTCTTCACCACTGTGAGTTACCACAACTGTGGGAAGTGATGGAGACACAGAAACCTCGAGTGCCCTGCCCAGAGCAAAACCCTGCAGGGAAAGGGCAGCTCTTGGCACCCCGGTTACAAACCCAGCCACGAGGCTGCACCACGTTTAAACCAACATTTCAACCTGCTTTTCACTTTGTGCTGCCCCCAACAGCAGCACAAACTTGGATCTGGCACCTGGGGGAGGAAAAGATCCCCCTCGAGCTGTTATCTTTATATATTTATCCAATAATTGTGGATAAATATATATTTAATACATATTTATATTTATTAGTATTTTAATAATTATTTATATATTTTATATATTTATATATTGTTATTTATATAAAATATATATAAATATACACACAAATATAAATATATATAAAAATATATTTAAATATGTACAAATATTTTTTTTTCAGTACCAGACTGAGGGAAAACCAAGCACCACCATTTAAAGGGCAGATTTAGAGAGGGTGGGTTTGAATTGCTGTGCTCAGATGGAAACTGGGAAAGAACCAGTGCCATGGACTGGCAGTACTGGGGGCTGGACTGGTACCCTGGCAAGAGGAGCTGGTGAAAAGAGGGGAATATTCTCCAGGCAGGGAAGGTTTTGTTGGAGGGAATGCTCAGCAGTACACAAGAGTAAAAAAACCACAAGAGTAAAAAAAAAAAATGAAATAAGATGATCAGAAATTCTCATTATTCCCAATAAATGTGCACCCCCTGTGTGAGGGGAGGGTCCCACACCTGGCTGGGCACAAGACTGGCACCCACCTGCAGACACAGAGTCCACCTTCCTGGGAGCAGGTCTGGTTCTGCCCTGGACATCCTCCCCCTCGTCCCTGTTCTCCAGGATTTCCTCTGCAGGTTCCCTGGACATCCCAGGATCCTTCCCTTCCGCCTGAGGACTCGACTCCTGCTGGGCCAGGCTCGCACTCAGCTCCTGAGAGTCCTTACTTTTATAAAACTTGCTGTCACACACCTGCAGACCAACCCAGAGGCACAGTCACACCCGTGGCCTGTCCCTCCCAACCTCTGCTTCCCAACATTCCTGGCCCTGCTTTGGCACTGTCTTTGTTCTCATTGTTATGGATGTTGCTGTTGTTAGCAGGCACAGGTTTTCACACAGCGGCCACACCAGCACCTTCCACTCAAAAAGCTTGTTCTCAACCCAAAAGAACATCCAAAATGACATCATTTGGCACAGCAAGGAGGGGCAGCAGGGAAGTGAGGAGGAGGGAGGTGGGAGAAGGCTGGGCAGAGCTGCAGGGAGGGAGACACTGCTGGACCCCTCGGCATTGACTTCCTTCCTCGTGCCATTATTTGGGATCATCCCTGACCTGCCCACTGACCTTACTGCTACAGTGGCTGCAGCTCCTCCTCTTGCTCTTCTTGAGCTTGGGGTCACTGCTCCCCTCGTGGCAGGAACAGGGACACTCCTTCATCCCCTCCACCCACTCGGCCTCCTGGAACAGACACACGGACGCTGAAGGGATGCTGCTGCTGGCAAGCAAAGCACACCAGGAGCACTCCAGCCCCCTTGGGAGGCTCTTGTCGTGCCCCCCAATCTCTCCCCATGGCCATTCCCCAGCTCAGAGCCCGCAGTGAGGCCCCCCAGCCCCACCTTGTCGTTGTGGTGGCCCCCCATCTCCTTCCTCTTCTTGCTCCTCGCAGCCCCGTGGATCTTGGGTGGCTCGTCCTCCTCCTCCACATCTGGCAAAGACACCTCTTCAAACCCATCAAACTGCAACAAAACAAACACACATCCCTGCTCCCAGCTTTGTTTTCCCCAGAGACACAAATCCTGTCCAAAGATCTGAAGAGTTCCCTTCTAACTCTTCTCTCCCGCCCCACCGCTTCCCCCTCCCTGGAGCTGCAGCCCCTGCTTGAGCTCTCCCCGTTCAAACCCGTCTCCCATCTCTGCTTTTACCCTTTCTGGCCTTAGAAAAGATTGCTGCACCTCGTATTCCTTCTCCTCTGTCCAGTTGATCTCCTCGAAGTCTCCCATCCTGCTGGCCGAGGGCCGGAGGTGGTCGAAGAAGACAGAGAACTCGTCCTGCAGGTGGTCATGGCCCTTCAGCAGCTGCCACATTTGGGTCTTCAGCTGGAGGAGAGAAATCCAGAGCAAATGAGTCTCGTTCCATGTCATCACCTTGCCCTCTGAAGGACTCTCAAAGCAAGTGGAGCATCAAAGGCTCGTTCAGCCTCCAACGTGGATGTCCCTGCTTGCACTGCGACTGCTTCCTGAGTATTCTGAGGTCATTCCACACCCAGCCAGCAAATCAGCATGGAACTGCCCCTCCAGAATTCCAGGCAGACTCTGGAGGAGGCACCAAGCTAAAAATCTCACCTACAAGGTGACAAAGGTGAGGTGGGAGAGAGGAGACAGGCAGAGCATCAACTGGGCGGCCCCTTGAAGAGGCAGCTCCAGTTCTCCTGGAATCCGAGGCCAGGGGGGATTGGTCCAGTGGAAGGTGTCCTTTCCCAGGGCAGTGGGTGGAACAGGAGGAGCTTTAAGGTGCCTCCCAGCCCCAACCCATTCTATGGTTCTACGGACTGAGCTGTGCCCCCAAACTGCTGCCCAGGAGCAGCACACGGGGACAGGGAGCCAGGCTGGAATCACCCCCAGGGCTCTGGCAGAAAGGGGACACCTGGTTACCTCTGCAATCTCCTGGGGCAGACAGTCTGCACAGCTCTGCAGGACCTTGATGATCTTCTGGTGGTGGGCAGGGTTCTCAGCGAAGCAGATCTCCAGCTGCCGGAGGAACTTGCGGCTCTTCTCGAAGGCTTGCTGCTCCTCAAACTGCACAAACCAGACCCAGTCACCCTCACAGCCAAGAACACGCTCCCAAACGCCTCGAGCTGGCTTAAACAAGCCATAAAATCTCTGTCCTGGTCTTTGTTTCCCATGGCATTGATGCTCCTGGGGGGGCAAATCTGGGGGGACTCGGAGGAGGAGAAACGCTTCGTGTGATCAGTATTACACCAGCTAGAAAGTTCTGCTTCAACCACCTGCACACAAAACAGGGACTGGACATTCTCAGAGAGAAAGGAAGAGGTGAAACCCTCTATTTGATCAGTGCAAGGCTGACCTGGAGGCCAGGGAACCACGGTTTGCTGGGTCTGCACGTCGTCCCTGATGGAACCGGGAAAGGCTCCCCCGGTCACCCCGAGCAG